ACTCTCTCCTCTCCCTTCTCTCTCTCTCCTCTCTCTGTCTCTCTCCTTCACCCCTTCGTCTCTCTCCTCTCCTCTCTCCCTCCTTCCCTCTCTCCACTCTCTTCCTCCCTCTCTCCGTCCCTCCTTCACTCCTTCGTCCTCTCTCTTCTTTTTCCTCTCTCTCTCTCTCTCTCCTTCCCCCACTCCTTCTTCCTCTCTCTGACTCCCCCTCTCTCTCTGTCCCTCCCTCCTTCTCTCTCTCTCTCCTCTCTCTTTCCCTCTCTCTTTCTCCTCCCCCTTCCTCTCCTCTCTCTCTCTTCTCTCTCCCTCCCTGTCTCCCTTCCTCGCCCCCACTCCCTCTTTCTCTCTCTGACTCCCTCTCTCTGTCCCGCCCTCCTTCACTCCCTTTCTCTCTCTCTCTCTCTCCCTCTTCTCTCCCTCTCCTTCACCATTTTCTTTTTTCTACTGTTCTGCCGTCTTCTCTTTCCATTCCATCTCTCTCTTGCTCTCTCTCACTCCCTCTTTCTCTCTGTCCTTTTCTCTCCCTCCCTCTGTCCCTCTTCTCTCTCTCCCTCTCATTCACCACTTTCTTTTTTCTACTATCTTCTCTTTTATTCCATCTCGCTCTCTCCGTCCCTCCCTTCCTTTCACCGCCTCTTCCTCCCTCTGACTCCCTCTCTCCTCCCTCCTTCCCCCTTTCTCCCTCCCTCCCTCCTCTCTCTCTCCCTCTCATTCACCGCTTTCTTTTTTCTACTGTTTTCTTTCATTCATCTCTCTCCTCTTTCTCTCTCTCCCTCTCTCCTTTCCTCTCTCTCCATCTTCTCTCTCTCTCTGTCCCCTCCCTCCTTCACTCCTTCTCTCACTCTCTTACCCCTCCCTCCTTCCCTCTCTCTCTCCCTCCTTCCCCCTTTCTAACTCTCTCTCTCTCTCCCTCTCATGCACCACTTTCTTTTTTCTACTGTCTTCTCTTTCATTCCATCTCTCTCCCTCCCTCCTTCCCTCTCTCTCTCCCCCTCCCTCTTCTCTCCCTCTCTCTTTCTCCTCTCCCTTCCTCGCCCCCTCTTCCTCTCTCTCTTTCCCTTCCACTCCCTCTTTCCCTTCATCTCTCTCTCCCCCTCCTTCTCTCACTCTCTCTCTTACCCCTCCCTCTCTCTCTCCTCTCTCTTTCCCTCTCTCCCTCCATTTCTCTCTCTCCCTCTCATTCTCTACTTTATTTTTTCTACCATCTTCTCTTTCATTCCATCTCTCTCCCTCCCTTTTCTCTCCCTCTCTCTTTCTCTTTCCCTTCCCCTCCCTCTTTCCCTCCATCCCTCTTTCCCTCCTTCCCCCACTCCCCTTTCCTCTCCCTGACTCCCTCTTTCTCTCCTCTCTCTCTTTCCCTCTCTCTCCTTCCCCTTTCTCTCTCCCTCCCTCTTCTTTCTCTCCCTCTCATTCACCACTTTCTTTTTTCTACTATCATCTCTTTCATTCCATCTCTCTCCCTCCTTCCCTCCCTCCGACTCCTTCTCTGTTCCTTTCCCTCTCTCCCTCCCTTTCTCTCTTCTCTCTCTCCTCCCTCTCTCTTTCTCCTCCTCCTCCTCTTGTGTGTTCTGTCGTTTTTCCGGTCGGGTGAGAGTCGTGTGTCTCACCTCAGATGAACTTCTGCTCCTGAACCACATGAAACAAAAAAAAAGAACAGAACGCACAGACAAAAAGAGGACGAGAAAAGAACAAGTGAAAGACCCGCTCTTCCTCTGGGACGACAAAAACACACAAACACTTTACGGGAATAAAACCGCTTCAAATTCACGACAAAATCCACAAAAATCCACAAAAAACGACCAAATTCTGTAGACATTTCAAAATAAAATTATAATACTTTTCTGAAAATGTCTTGAATTTAGAATATTTCAGAACTTTACTGTTAAAAGTTTAAAGCTGCACTAAAACGTGGCTTCGTGGCGGAGGGTGCGCTACCTGCTCGTCTCCATGGAGATGTTAATACTTTGCCTGGAATGTTCCGCAGTGTGGCATTAACCTTTGACGCTTACACTTCTTTTTTATGGCTCAAAATCCATTAAAAACCTCACATTGTGACGGTGAGCGGGCTCGCCTCTCCACAGATCTGAGCTGTAACTTAACCTACTGGCTTGGTGGCCATGGAGAGAGGAGCTTTAATGCCATACTGCGGAACATTCAAGGCAAAGAAATACAATTATATGTATGTACGTTTTCAATCTGTGTGTCGTTTTTTTAGTTTTTCAAAATAAAACCAAAAATAAAACTGTTTTTTAAATTTTTGATTTTGTGTTTACATGAAAAATGGAAAAAAATTGATAATGACCATTTCCTGATTACGTGACTTAAACTGCAACGCCGGACTGAACCAGGACTAAACCGTTTTCAGGCCTGGTCTGGTCCCAGTCTGATCCCGGTCTGGTCCTGGTCTCAGTTCTGGTCTGGTCCTGGCCTCAGTCCCGGACACAATTCTGGTTTGGTTCTGGTCTGGTCCTGGCCTCAGTCCTGGCCTCACTCCCGGCCTCAGTCCCGGACTCAATTCTGGTTTGGTTCTGGTCTTGTCCTGGTCTCAGTCCTGGTCTTAGTTCTGGTTTCGTCCCAGTCTGATCCCAGTCTGGTCCTGGTCTGGTCCCGGTCTCAGTCCCAATCTCAGTTCTGGTCTGGTCCTGGTCTCAGTCCCAATCTCAGTTCTGATCTGGTCCCGGTCTCAGTTCTGGTCTGGTCCTGATCTCACTTCTAGTCTGGTCCTGAACCTGTTTTAGTCCTGTTTTAGTCCTGGTTCAGTCCTGGTTCAGTCCGTTCTCAGTTTTTTCAATTTTTCATTTAAACACAAAATCAAAAACTGAAAAAACAAATAATTATCTGTTTTTTCGTTTTCATTTTTGGAGACAAATAATGAAGAAAATAGTTGTTTTTTTCATTTTCTTATTTTTGATTTTATTTTGGAAAACGAATTAATGAATGACACATGAATTCTTTTCTTCCAGTTTTTCAGAATTTCTAAAATTGTTGATACTCCGTTTTGTGATTTAGTTTCAGAATATTTAAAATGTCCAAGATTTAGTCCATTTAATTTTATTTGTTTGCTTAATTACAACATAGATCAGAAAAGAACCGGGTTAATCCAGGTTGGAAACAAATTTTCTCTTAATATTTGCAAATGAAAATGACGTCCAGTTTTTATTTAACAAATCTTTTATTTCAAACAAAATACATAAAATAATCCATTGTTGTTCTTAATTATAAAGTCATATACAGCATCTCATAAAAATGAACAGTGTGTATCAAAAAACCAAGTCAAATTTAACATAAAATCATTTGAAATCCCATTATTAAAAACAGAAATATTAATATTAAAATAAAACATAAACCAGACAAATATTTACACGTCTCTTCTTTGAATAAATGCCATGTATTTACAAAAAGGACAGAGAACTTAATCCACAAAGACTCAAAAATCAACTCAACAGGGCAGTTTTCATGATTTAAAAGCTTACAGTTTTACTTTTTTTTTTTTTCTAGTCGAGATTAAAGGTTCTAAATTACACAAAATGGTCTCAGAAGTCAATTTGGCAAAGTACGGAACCTTTACATTGAAGTGCTCTGTATTGAAGAGAGAAATAAATACGTTTAAGTTTTTGTTTACTTCATTACGGAAGCCCTGAGCGGCAAGCAAAAAAAAAAAAAAAAAAGCATGTCATTTGGACTGTATTTTCTCTAACACTTTTTTTTTTCAGCCACGTCAACAGTAAAAAATAAAAATAAAAGAAATATTAGCTGTTGCTGTGAAGAAAAAAGACAAGATTATTTTTCTTTATATTTTTTTATATACTTAACATCTCAAAAAAAAAAAAAAAAAAGAATCTGACGTGCCTCTTTTTTTATTTAAAGCCACATCAAATAAAAAAAAAAAAAAAAGTTTTTTGTTTTTTTTTGCTGTTGCTGTAAAGAAGTGCAAAAAAAAAAAAAAAAAAAAAAAAAAAATCTTAGTAAATAGAGCCCTAATGACTTGCCTCATTTTTTTCAGCCACATCAACAGTAAAAAAAAAAATCTAAACTTTATTTATTTTTTTTAGGTATTGCTGTAAAGAAAAAAAAAGACATTTTTTTTTCTGAGTTGTTTGTGCAAAAAAAAATAAAATAAAATAGAGCCCAAATGACGTGCGTTTTTTTTTTTTTTTTTCCCCCACTTGCTGCTCAAGGCTTCCGTACTTCATTGATTAAAAAAAACAAAAAACAAAACTGTTTAAATTTGTTTACATTTTTAAAGTATTTTTCCGAATCAATTCTATATTTTCCAATTTTTATTCTTATTCTTATTATTGATTATTATCATTTTTTTTTTTTTTTTTAAACTTTGGTAGACTTCTTATTAGTGCAATTTTTCTACTCCACGTCATAATTTTGCTTTATTTTGAAATTACATCCAAACATGTCAGAAATGTCAAGTCAGACGAACTCAAACCAAACTGGAAAGACAATTTAAACATTTTACTCTGGAAATAATAAAAAAAAAAAAAAAGTCACTTGTTGGAGTTTTTCTTTGCGTTCTGACGGTTGAGATTTAGGTGGGCGGGGTAAAAATGCGTCTTAAGTCACGTTAACGTCAGAGCACTTTAAACAAACGGCGCGGTTTCGTAACTCCGAGACGCACCCTCCGTTCTGCACATCGTCGCTGCGGCAACGGGAGTAAACACAAGCAAATAATGGAGAGAGTGAAGCCTGGAATTTCTATTGTTGTTGTTGGGATACCATCAAGTTTTCCAGGTTCACGCAGGAATTTCGTCACAGCGGATTGTATGGGGAAAAAAAACAACAAAACATACAGTACAAAAAAAATATGGAAACAAAAAAAATAATAAAACAAATAAAAAAATTAAATAAAATAAAGATAATAATAAAAAATTAAGTCATAATAATAATAATAAAAACACAATACAAATAAATGTAAAAAAACTGAGAAATTATTTTTTTTTTAAATTCTAATGTGTAAAAACAAAAAAGAAAATTATATTTGTGGTAACTCCGACAAAAGACCTGGTTTAGTCCTGGTTTACTCCTGGAGTAGTACTTATTTAGACCTGGTTAAGTCCTGGTTTAGTCCTGGAGTAGCACTTATAGCCGGATATTGGTTTATCGACACAGCGACACAAAACAAATAAAAAAAACAAAGAAAGAGAAATTATTTAAAAAAATTCAAATGTGTAAAAACAAAAAAGAAAACAGTTTTGTGGAAACTCCTGCGACAATTAAAATGGCTTGAATTTGGATTGTTATTACTGTCTTTCTTAGTTTTGACTAGTTCCGTTCTGAATTTGAATCATAATTTCTGACAAATAAGTTCTTCTTTTAATCAAATTTCTTACATTTTTACTTCGAGCAAAATGTCGGTGGAGTAAGATTTCTTTCATACATTTTTTTTTACATTATTGCATTTAATGAAAAAATAAAAATATATAGAAAACATTATAGACTCAATCTAAAAAAAAATGAAGGTAGTTAAAGGATTATATTTGTACGGAGACCAAAAGGGGCACAGGTCAACTTAAATTTTCCATGTAGATTTCATATTGATTCTTATGCATTTTCTTATATATATATATTTTTTGCAGTGTGTTGAGTTTCAAATCAAAAATATACAAAAAGTCAAGTATTTATGTCATTACATTCATTAAAATTCAGACAGACAAAGGCACACGTATCGACAGTATTTACAAGGCTGAACTTTGACCCGGAAGCAGTGGAGTTGGCAGATAATTCCTGAACAAAAATGAACATGCCGATTGGTCCGATTTGGGGGAAAGCTTCAATTCATCCCTGTGCTCTGTCGGATCAGGCCTGACAAGCTCCAAGTTTAGACCCGGTTTAGTCCCGGATTAGTACTTATTTAGACCTGGTTTAGACCTGGTTTAGTCCTGGAATAGTACTTATTTAGACCTGGTTTAGTCCTGGAGTAGTACTTCTTTAGACCTGGTTTAGTCCTGGTTTAGTCAAGGCGTAGTACTTTTTTAGACCTGGTTTAGTCCAGGCGTAGTACTTATTTAGTCATAATTTAGTCCTAGAGTAGTACTTATTTAGATCCGGTTTAGTCCTGGAGCAGTACTTATTTAGACCTGATATAGTCCTGGAATAGTGCTTAATTAGACCCGGCTTAGACCTGGAATAGTACTTATTTAGACCTCGTTTAGATCTGATTTAGTCCTGGAGTAGTACTTATCAAGACCTCGTTAATCCTAGTTTAGTCCTGGAGTAGTACTTTTTTAGACCTGGTTTAGTCCTGGAGTAGTATTTCTTTAGACCTGGTTTAGTCCTGGTTTAGTCTAAATTGAGTTATGAATAAGTTAGAGAGTTTGATCTCAATTAAAACTGTTCATACTGTTGTTGTGTCCACAAGCAAAACACACTGAATGTTGTTAATTTGTTTACAGAGCTCATCTTAAAATCTGAATTACAGCGCCTTAAACCGGGATCGACATAAATGTTTGCGTCACTACTTCCTGTCCAGTTTTATCTCCGAGTCATAAAAAAAAAGAATAAATATTTAAAGAACACTTAAGGACATTTCTGCGTTTAGAAAAAGAGATGTTTGTGTCTCAATGCTAACGCTAATGCTAATTTTGGCATAATAAATATAAAAAAAACGCCACAAACTATTTTATAAAAGTATTCTACACGTACAAAGAAGAATTTGAATGAATTATATCGAGCTTGTAGAGCCCTTTGACCTCAGGAGCACAGGGAGGACGTTGTCGTGAGTGTGTGACTTTGTTTCGAGTGCTGCTGCTGAAATCTTTGCGTTAGCCTTAGCATTAGCTTTAGCCTTAGCTTAGCATTAGGCGCGTTAGTTCTGGTGCCTCTTCATGTGCAGGGCGAGGTGGTCGGAGCGGGAGAAGCAGCGGCTGCAGGCCACACATTTGAAGGGTTTGGCTCCGGTGTGTTTCCTGTAGTGTCTCGTCAGCTCGTCTGAACGGGCGAAGCGCCAGTCGCAGTTTTCCCAGGTGCAGCGGTACGGCTTCTCACCTGCACACACACACGGGAAGTACACGTCAGACCCTCGCACAAATACACAAATATACAAATGTACAAATATACATGAGCTTTAAAACTTATGTAGTCTTCTATAGTCTTGTTTTTGAAAATACCATATGACACAAAATAAACTCTTGTGAGCTTTAACCCTTTAGACGCCAAAGGTTTGTTCCTAAAACTTTCAATTTTGGACCTGGTTCAGTCCTGGTTCAGTCCTGTTTTAGTCCTGTTTTAGACCTGGTTTAGACCTGGTTTAGTCCTGGTTTAGTCCTGGTTTAGTCCTGGTTTAGTCCTGGTTTAGTCCTGATTCAGTCCTGGCTTAGACCTGATTCAGTCCTGGTTTAGTCCTGGAATAGTACTTATGGACGGATTATTTATTTATCAACACAGTAACACAAGATAAATAATAAAGAAAAATATAAAAAACAGAGAGAAATTATTTTAAAAAATTCAAATGTGTAAAAACAAAAAAGAAAATTGTATTGTGTTAACTCCTGCCTGGATTAAAATGCCTTGAATTTGCTTAATTTTGGCTGCTTCTGTTTTGAATTTGAATAATAATTTCTGACATATAAATTTTATTTATTTTTTCAATTTTTGCATAAAAAAAAGAAATTATAGTATATATATATATATATATATATATATATATATATATATATATATATATATATATATATATATATATATATATATATAAAAACATTATAGACTCACAGACTAACAAAATCAAGATAGTTAAAGGTTTATATTTAGTGTACATTTGTACGGAGACCAAAAGGGGCACAGGTCAACTTAAATTTACTTAAAAAAAAACAAAAAACAATCAGGATTCTTGTTGCTCCACACAAGCCCAGACAGATTTTCAACATCACAGTGAGATCAGAGAATGGGTCAAACGCAGGGGAGCTAACCCTTTATAATCTACGTTAAGACGGCAAAACATTACAAACATTTCATCTTACACAACGCACACGACGCACACAACGCACACGACGCGGACCTACGGCTGCGTTTGCGTACAGGTATTTGCCGTGCGCTCAGTCCAAAGTCAATATGTGCTCAGTGGAGGTAAATGAAAGCTGAGTGAGTGTAAACACGAGAGCTCCACCCAAACGCACAAAGAAACCACCAGCGATCGTGAGCTAATCTTCAACGAGAGCCCAGCACGGCGGGATCGGTATGTCCACCGGCGTTATCTGAACTTGTGCCGTTGAGTAAACAGGCTAAAAATAAAACACCAAAACAATAGAACGCAACAGAACGACGGAGGTGTCAATAGTCTGAGGATCCATTTGTGGAACATTTAATTGGTTTATAATTATCAGAGTAAAGTACAAATAGGAATCTCTGGGTGATTTTAAAGGTGCACTGTGTAACTTTTTGGTTGGGGGTTCATCACCTGCTTGTTTCCACAGATATGCCATTACTCTCTCATCAAATATGTTTTAGAGCTACAGATAGACTATAGAGACATTATTTATTTAAAATGTTGTTATTATTTTATATTATAGTTATTCTGGATTCAATGTTTAACCAAAACTTTTATTAAACATTTATTTAAAATTAGAAAAAGGTTCAACATATCTCAAAAGAAGAGAAAACATGCAGATGTTCTTGAGAATTTTCAATAAATATTTAGTTTGGCCCATGATTTAGTCCTAGTTTTAAATTTTGTCCCTCTGTGAATTTGAGTTTGACACTTCTGCTCTAGAATGTTCCAAAGTATTTCGCCTTTTAAATCACTTCTTAAAGACTAATTTTTATCGGTTTTAACTGGTTTTAGCTTGATTTTATTCCTTATTCATTTTATTCAATTTATTCTATCTATTTATTATTCATTTTTATTCTATTTATTGGATTATTTGCATCATTGTCTGTTTTTGTGTGTCTTCTGCAAGCGATATTTAGTCTTATTGTATTGTTCTTTGCTTTTATTATTATTAAACAGCTCAACTTTACATTTATTCAATTCCAAGTGGTTTTATCGCTCAAAAATATGTAGAAAAACAACATTCTGACTGTGAGCGGGGTCGTCTCTCCACAGATCTGACCTGTAACTTGGTCTGGTTTGTTTTCCATGAAGATAGAAAGGTTTAATGCCACACTGTGGAGCATTCCAGACCAAACAATAACACCTCAGTTGAGACATTCTCTTTTAAACATGCTTTTGGTCACCGTGAGATAAGTATTTCACATTTTCTAACTTAAAAAAAAACATCTGGATTTGGAAAATTTACTTTATAAACTTCAGCTGAGTTTCCATGAGGTATTTAGGCATTAGAGCTCCCTCTGCTGTCAGCGACGGGAATAAACAATGGCAAAGTAAACAAATGAATTCCTTATCTCTGTGAATGCTTTGGGTTTTAATGGACACAATCTGACCACAGAATGAGTTTGTGATACTTTATGAACTCAAAAACTGCACAGGAGAAGTCTGGAGTTTTATCTATGACGTAACTAAACAGGCAAAATGCAAAGTTCAGAGAGGACAATTTTCGACTAATGCGTAAATGAAACAAGTGTGAATGAACAAAAGTGCAACTCCAGGTCTGTTCTGATGACAATATAAGATGGGTAATGTTCTTTAAAACACGTCAGGTTGCAACTCTGGGCAAATCTCCGCTCTTGTACTCGGATACTGGAGGCACACTGGTTAAAGTGTCTTGCCCATGGACACAGCAATTGTATTCACAGGTTTGAGCGAGAAAGTGCTGCTGCCCCACTGTGGCACCTGAGTTCCCAGACGTCTCATATTCCAATACAAACCAGGCCAACCCACATTAGATCATTGTCAAATTTGTATGGACTAAATACGAAAAACAAAAAAAAACAAAAAAACTGCACTACAAACTTTAAAAACACACATTTTTCAAAACCCTGGAGTAGACAGTAGATTTTAAATGGTGTTGAACTTCTCACTTTGAATGTATTAACTCTGAAAAAACATGTTTAAATTATTTTAAATTATTTTTATGTCAGTTGTTGGCATTTTAAGTGTACATTTTCTAAGTGAAAATTATTTAAATTTCTCTTTTAACCGCCCACAGATGTAAATGCCCAATAGAAAACTGTCTGTCTGTCCTCCTCACTCACACAGGGTCGATGCTTCTGCCTTGGCATCTTGGATCTTTGCTGTGAAATTCAACACTCGGGACTCGACACTTGGGACTCGACACTTGGGACTCGACACTCCGGATTCGACACTCCGGATTCGACACTCCGGATTCGACACTCCGGATTCGACACTCCGGATTCGACACTCCGGATTCGACACTCCGGATTCGACACTCCGGATTCGACACTCCGGATTCGACACTCCGGATTCGAGGACTTCAAAGTATTTGGGCTGAATATTTAAAGGTGACATTTTTATACATATTAAAAAAATACACTTAAAATTTCCACACACACAAAAAAAAATAAAAAAATAAAACATCTTTATTTAGAGTCAAAAGATCCAGCTGTATTTAAAATTCAAAATCTGAAAAAAAAAAATAATCATCTTCTATACACTACACAAAATAACACAAATTTCTCAAAACCCCGGAGTATGTAGAATCTTCTTGAACGTCATTTTAGTGAAAGAGGCTGGATCCTGGTTTAACGCCGCGTCAGGACCCCCGTGTGGAGAGTCAGGTTTTCTTTATCTGAACCTGCTCCGTCCTGATTAGATAAACCTGCAGAACCATCCATCACCGTGACAGGTCCAAAGAACAACCAGCGAAAAGGAAACACTTCACACCAGAGCCGCTCCATCCACGACCAGAGGACTTCACTTCTGACCAACTTTTCCAACTTTTGATCAAATTATAAAGTTGTTGCCAGAGTTTTTACACCTTACGTTATATTGAAATTGACTCTTGTGAGCTTTAAGTCGTGTTGAAATGTTGTTATCTCCTCAAAAACAGACCTGGAGTTGGGTTTAATCCTTTGTTATTCGTCTGTTTACATCTCAAAAGTTAAAAATGCTCTGTTCCCTCTTGTGATGTCATGAAGCGGTAGTTTTCAGTGACTTTTGACCTTTTTTAGTTCAGTAAAAACTGGCAATTCCAGGGTCGAAATGATCCAAATAATTCCAGAGAAGGTGTGAGCTATTGTTGATTTGTTTTTATTTCGAGTTTGTGCCATGAGAGAAACAATAATCACACACATATCTTGAAAAGGAACAGGAAGAAGAAAAAACTTGCCCCCGTTCATGACACAGTTTCAAAAATTCAAAAATGATGTGGTTGCTTCTGAACACTGATGACGAAACTTTACAAATATTTACTACTACTAAATATATCTACTAAATATAATTTTAACCCAATTTCTTTCTTTCCTTTTTTTTTTGTATTGTACTGTTTTATAGTTGTACAAACTAATAATGATGTTGATGAAGGCACAAAAGTTTATCGTTTATGATCGTACAAAATAAACCACAATGAGAATGAAAGAATGTAAGGATTTTTTTGTTTTCATTTATGGTCGTACAAACTAAGGATGAGCTTGATTAGTCGACTAATCCATAACTGATCATTAAGAATTTTGTTGATCAAGTTAATTTTAAAAATCAACACACTGAATGTAGGCCGCTGTGCAAATGAGTCATGTGGTTTTAAGTTTTGTTTCTGTAAAACGTAAACAAATGCGTCAAAGCTAAATTAAACACATTATAATGACAAACGGGCTGATGTGGATCTAGAGTCGTTATGGTTTATTAATTTAATTATTTAATTAATCATTGCATTTATATAGCACCTTTCAAGATCCCCAAAGCGCTTTACAGATTATTATTCATCCACTCAACACTCAGTTGGTGTAATGTTTTTTTATTGGTACGGATGTGAGGATGTGTCTAGATTTGTTCATTTTTACTGCTACAGATCTGCTCTGTCGAAGTTTCATTGTATTTCATACAATGACAATAAATAAATCTATCTAGCCACAGCTGCCCTGGGACAGACGAGTGAGGCTGCCAATCTGCGCCATCAGTCCCTCCGACCACC